ACACAAAATTTAAAAATTTTTCAGGTGAAAAATTATACCAATCAAACACACTTAATTAACAATTTCCTGCAAAACATCTTTTAGACAATTATTTTCTCTGAAATTCATTTTCTTTCCACCTATTTTCCACTCTTGCAATCGAACGCACCCTAAATGAAAAGGAATAGTCTCGTCCACGGAATATTGAGCACTTAAGGAGATATTACCAATAACTAAGGCTCATCAATTCAACTGGATGTTCCCAGCTCATGTAAATATGTTCTATTCAATGCAATGAATTTCGTACAAAGTATTGTCACTTCATTATGATGCATTTCTTGGATGAACAATCCACCATGAAGGAAGCCTTTGAAGGGGATATCCACACAAGGTTGGCATAAACTTGTTTCACAGAAGAAATGCGAAATTATCTACAGAAGGGACCCATCTCAAGACCTATGAGTTATCAACGTATTAAGCATTGTTTATCAATTTGACCGAAGCGTTGCTCGAAGTGATATAATGCAGTTGACTAAGCCCATCCAAGGTGAATTAACCAAACATCAGAGGTTTTAAGCCTTGTTTATAAATTTAAGATCTGATTTAAGCTGCTTAATTTAGGTCAAAGAGGCTCATTCGACTAATACGAAAAAAAACGTTTGATTACTTTTTAAGATTCATTGGATAGTTCATTACTTAATAAGTGTTATTAATTACGAAGTGGTAACCTCAAACATGCACAAGTACATATATATGTAGTAAAGCAAAAGCACAAACACTTGGAGGAAGGTTAAATTTCATTAATGGAAGATTACAAAGGGAGAAGCCGAAGCTCTTACATAAGAAAAAAAAAAACTTAAATTGGTTTTGATACAACTATAGCCCGAGGCCCTACCCCCTTCCTTCTCATCCTGATTTAGTTCTTCCTTTCGAGCTTCTTGCTAAGCTTCATCGATAGCTTTTACAAATCTGGTCAATCTCCTATTGGTCCACCAAACTCCTCCACAATAAATCTCATATCATTGTTGGGATAGACATTCCTAATGTGAGCAATAATCCCTTGGGCACTCTTGAAGCTCAGTAGTTGGTAAAGTCATCATAGGAACATGCTTTATTGAAGTTATCGATATAGTTTTGGAGACCTACTTTGCCAATAGTCTTTGCTTTGGCCTTCAGAGACTGTATCTCCTCTTTCTAGGCTTCAACAAGCTACCTCAACTTTGCCTTCTCTTTTTTCAAAGCCTATAAGGCTTTGGCAATGATGCGTGGTGCTTTTTGGACTAGTTAATCTTCTTCTTCAGCGTCGTAACTTGATTTTCGATTCTTGAAGTTCGTTCCTCCAACGATTGACTTAGGCTTCAGAAATGTCCAACTTCACCTCAACTTCATCTACTTCATCCTAAGCCTTTTTCACCTCCTCCTCTCAATCTGCAAAAGCCTCCAACCTTTGGCCTAACTCATCATTTTTATATGAAGGCTTCAAACTAAGTCTTCAGCAGCCATGCTTATACTTAAAGCTTGTGCCACACGGGTGTTGATGGCATTCAATGAGTCATTGGCCTTATATGAGGCGATGTGATCTTGGCACTCCTTGGTCTAATATTTATGGTGGACCTAGTAGCAAAGGCGGTTTTAGGAGGTAGCATCTCTAACACTGCCTTGGACATCTCTTCGTCCTTTCTTCCCAAAAAATTACTGACTTTTTCACTTCTAGGAGGAATAGATGATTTTTTGTCCCAAGAGGTATAGAAAGGAGCTGGGAGGGACTCTGTTGGAGATGTAACAGAGGACGGAGGAGGGTGCCTTTTATAGGCCTCGTCGTATGAGACAAATGAAGGGTGGCCTTTTCTTCAAGATGATCCCAGTAGGGATTCGAGCATAAGGGATCTGACTATTGTCGGCCGGAATGACTATGCCCTAGGTGGGCTAGATTGCTTCTTATTTATTAATGGAAACACCTCATCTTCATGCTCTTCATCCCCAGTGGGCGAGCTCTTGCCTAGATAGACTAGTTAGTCATTATGCCTCTTATAGACAACTAGCCATTAAATGAGCCAACACTCCACATCATCTCCGACATGACAGAGGTGATGTATCACTTCGTCGAAGTACGATGTTACCTGGCCGAGGTGATGTATCAGTGCCATGGTGAAGTGTAATGTATAGGTCAACGTCCTTCGCTAGTCGAAGTGCTACATCTGCTGTAGGAAGAAATTTAGAGGCAATGGACTTTTTTCCAATGGAAGACATCTCTACCTCACTTCTCTTACAAGATCTTTTGTACAAATTAGGATCTTTCCAAGATAACATGTCATACGATTGATTGATATCAACATCTCTGCAGCAAACACCTAAGGTTCAAGTCACAAATCTATTTGTGAAGAAGCATTAAATGCCCACCCACGTCTGGAGATGCAAGATTGGAAGTCAACAGAAATTAAAAATGAAATTTGACTACCCATAACACAAGTGAATGTTACTTTATCTCCATAAACAAAAAGTTTTGGTGCCCAAAAACTTCGAAGCGGACCCTAAATGCTTTCCTTGACAGATTGAACTCCAAGAAAGAGGACACAATTGCAAAAGTTGAACAAACCTTTTCTCAATGCATGAGGACAAAATTGCA